GGAATAGACGAAATGATAGAAGGAATGCTACTGGAGCCTTGGATATCGGGATGCTTCTGGCTGAAGGATAGAATCTTAACCGGTGGGATGTTCGCCGTTACTTATAGGGAGTTGAACCCCTTCTCTCCGCTCTATCCATAGCACGCTCAGGCAGCTTTGCCACGCCTTCTGCACTGCTAACCTCGCACCCTCAACTCAGGTCGTCTTACCACATTAGGACTCTTCTCCTCAATCTTTCCACGCTCATTCGCGGACTCACGTATCGATCCTGCCGAACGTCTTTCCGCCCGAGTCGCGCCATTGCCAAGACTTGTTACGGAAGCTTGGTGTAGAAGGATGCGCTTTGGAAGCGCACATCGGATAGTACCACGTGGTTTTGGTATGGTGATTGCACAAGTGAAACGCCCAGCAAACTCCGCCGTGCGTTGGCACTTGCATTATTAGGGCGACAGTGACATGCCATAGCGCAATGCTTAGCGCTGCAACCCTCCTCTCATTTCCTCTTCCATCATTACTTCCGCCAACTAGCATTTCGCCGGTTCTGTTCTGTATGTCCGCTCTTGGTTTATTGAGGTACTATCGATAGCGGAAATACCACACGACTTGGTGTTTCCAGAGGGTTACGTTCCCCGCAGTATGACGGAGAATAGCGGAAAGTTGTGCGCTCTGAAGCTGTCCTGGTCACCGATATCAGCAAACCATCACCACTAGCATGCCAGCCTTCCGACTCTGCTACTTAATCTACGGGCAACTGATCACAGTCAAATGCTGGCTTTGACCCTTCCTCCCTAGGGACACCGCACGGATACTGCCTAGAGAACTGGGCTAGCGATGGGAATCCCGCTTGCGGCGGGCCCTGGCAAACTAGGAAACACCGTCAGGAACGGTGTCTTGGTATGCATAAGACAACTCGAACTGTCGTTCATGGGGGCACTGCGAAGGAACCGGCTCTCAACGATTCAAAAATTCACGCTGTTCATTGACGACGTCGCTTAGAATCGGCCTGATGAGCAATACTTTCTCCGCAGCTCATGTTGCACGACTGCGACTGTATGAGAAAGGCCATGACGCAGTAATACGCTGCGGAGATTATTTAGCAAGGGCGCAGGATTCTGATGGGTACCGAAGGATGATGTCCTCCACCTTGTGGATACTGATCAGTAAACAGGTGAGAATTCCAAGACCAGGAGTTTCATGCGTTAATCAGAAGGACTGAAGGGCGTCGGAAAGACCGATCGATTGCAGAGTGGAAGATACATTCTTCGTTAACTCCCGAGGCCGTGCAGTGCACCACGCGATACAAGCCAAGCTCTTTACTCGCAAGGCGCGGGATAGCTACGCTGACTGGTGGACCTCGGGAGTGTTCAAGAAACGTTAATATGGGGTACATACTGGAGTACATGGTGGCGTGCATGCAGAGCGCATCGGCAGTGCGACGGCTTTGAAAACCCCGGATCTCGGAGAAAGCACTGCATCCTTTAGGAGAGGGGATGGTTGGGGTGTATAATTGCTCAGGTGTGGGACAATATGACAGGACGCGCAAGCGATTCCACCAATCAGCGTCATGCACCTCCGCCCTACACAACTCTGCCGTTTACGACCGTCTCTCGCTGGCAGGCACCTTCAACTTGATGCTGAGTTTGCACTTTCCATTGTCATCCAAAGCGCACTTTCCATTGTCATCCAAAGCGCACTTACTCAATTCGTGGGTACCCAACTTGTTGTGAAAAGTGGCTCAGCTTGGGCAGTGGCACAGGTGCGGGCTTTAGCGGGGTCAACGCACCCAAGAACCTCCAGCGACTCTTCTTCATCCTTCTTTCTAAGACATTCGAAGCTGAGATTTGTTCCAATTCCTTCGTCAAAATCACGAGAAAAAGGGTCTTCATCGAAACAAAGCCACAACTAGAGAGGACACCGAGTGAAGGGAGAGACCCCAACCTCACCTCTACAGTCACATGCCCACGACGGTTCATTTTCCGGACGTTTTTCAATGTCTCATGTCAAAGGGTCTTACTAGAGACCCAAACGTGGCGTTGGCCATCGGAAAGGAGGAGATTGAAGGCATCGTTATCCGGTTACCCGTTGTGCCCAGAAACGCACATACACGCCTATTCAAGACCAAATTCCAACCCCAAGCTCGGCGCAAGGGTCAGAGTGCAGCCTTACTTTGTAGGTCCGCAGTATTCCTAACTTTGGTATAGCAGCTTTGGTTCAGGGCCGCATTGAGCCAGGAAACCGTAAGCATCCACCCTCACCCATCCACTATTGGCGACCAGCCTCATTTTCGTGATGTTTGCAGCCGAGTTGTCGCTGTACGCAGCGCGTGGATTAGATACTACCACCAGGGGTTTGAGCGGCATAAAAAAGTGCCTTTGCCCGTGGGTCGTCTTGCGCAGCCTCGACTTTACATTGTACCTTCGCGTTCTGTCGAGACAAGGACGAATCGAGGGACAGCAATCCCATGGTTCGTGAATACCACGCCTTCTACGCACCGCATACCCACAACAACCAATTTCGGAAGTTGTACAGACACGGAGTGCACTTGAACTCTTAACCATGGTACTCATGATGCGGAGTTCAATGGTCATGCAGGATCACCCAGTCAAACAATCTTCTTCTGTGCGCACGTCGATTGTAAGACAACACTCCTCTTTCCACACCTATTGAGACACTGGCCAGGGATTAACACCACAAATATGCCATCCAACTTTACATCATCCCTTTCAAAGTTCGTGCCTGTCTTCTTTGAGAGTCCAGTAGGTCACTGACAGTACACAGTAACCCGGACCATTCAGTATCCAGCCTACGAGAGCTGAGGACGTCGCATATAGCAGCCCTTCCAACTGCATCCCAGGATGAAACATGCTGCATCTGCCTACATCTATACGATCCTTCTCACGAAGCCGTCACTGTGCTCATAACAGGCTGCTACCATCGCTTTGGTCGCAAATGTCTTGCAGACTACCTCGACAGCGAAAGCCCACGTAATAACAGTTGTCCCCAATGTCGACGAGAATGGTACAAACGACCACCTGCCTGGACGGCGCCACGAGACGTCAATGTCACGGAGAGTTTGCTAGGTTTGACCTTACCACAAGAGCCGGCGCTAGTCGAATCACGAGCGAGAGCTCATCGAACGCGAAACATCTTGGAGCAAGAACGGGCGTCGAACAACGGAGTCATCAGTAGTCATTTGGATGAGATCTTTCGAAGACTGGACATGATTCAGAACATCAGTAGCGAGCAGCACACTTCCACGGCAGATACGCGCGTGCGTCTTCAAGCGATTGTGCGCCGCGCCTCGAGAATTCACCGAGAACTTCAGTCTGCATATGAGAGCAGTAGAGGGCCGCAGACATCATTGAACGAGCGTGAAGCATTGTTAAGACGTCGGGAAAGAGAGTTAGAGCAACGTGAGAGTGAGATCAGGCGGCAAGACAGAGTCACTAGGGAACTTGACTTCCTCAGACGAATGGACTTGGGAAGGAGACTTGGACCCGGGCTTTGCGATGCCCAGTACTCTATGGCGAGCAGCGCAGATACTAGGGTGACATCTTCACCTACGGTTCCTACGCCAGATGAGAGCCCAGAAACCGCCAACGCGTCTGCAAACACTAGGGAGGATGCTCACCAGCCACCTGCATCACCACAATCCGAAGACCCGATAAGCGCTCGTCAATACAACGCGTACTTACAGCACATCAGTCTGTCAAACGACGACCCGCGCATAATTCTGGAAAATCGAGATTCTTCTACACCCGGTATCATACCGCCTGTCACACGTGCAGAAAGAGATGAGCCTGTCGCATCCGGAGGCGACGTGTGGACACGATCATACGAGTTGACAAACCGGCCCCACCGCAGATTTCATGGCATTGACCATACCGAAGCTTTTGAACGAATGGCCAGCGCCTTGGAAAACTATTGTGAAAGCTTAAATCCTGGGTCGACACAACCAGCTACCGCCCCCACATCAACGCCTCCCCCGGTATCTCTTCGACAGCCGCGACTTCGCACGAGGCCTGATACCGTTTCGAATAGACAAGAAGTGCCGGTAGATGCCGGGCCTTTTGTATCTCTCGATCCACGCAGAAATGCTGGCTACTGGCCGACGAGACTGAACTGAAGGGCGGCTTCACAAGTTGCGCGTTAGACTGCATAGCGCAACTACGCTGAGTGGAAACGAAGATTGAAGCTTTGGCAGTATTTATCGTGATAGGACTATATTCAGTGACGTCGCACGACGAACGGGAGAACGGAGCGTCGTCGGAGAAATACTCCACTTACTGTCGGTGTGGGTTCTCAATCGGCAGAGGCTATGTCTTAAATCCTGGGTACATGTGTACAATAGCTTCTGTACTAGTCACTTCTCAAATTATAATACATGTAAGCAGTAATGCGACATGATTTCCAACTGACTGCAGTGACGGGCAGGAAGATCCCACCTGGGCACGCTGCATGCCGATTTGCGCAAGCTTCAAAAAGACTTTATTGCGCAAGTTTCGATTGCTTTCCTATTGTATGTTGCTAGCAATGACGAGGATTTGTGAGCTCGTCTCCGTATTCAACCAAGGTACAATAGACAATGGTATACAAACTTTTCATCGGCCAGTCAAAGCGTCCACACAACTCACCTTCACTACATGAATTTTCTGCCAACAATGACGTTTTCTCCTCGCTCACTTACTATTGTCTCTTGCTCTCAATAGCGCCAAGCTTTGTTACAGCCAAAGTCTTTTCTGATAACTCTAACTCTACTTCCTACTCTTTACTCTTTACTCCTTACTCTCTACTACCTACACACATCGCGCAAGTCACGTACACGGAACGAAAACCAAACCTCTACCATGGCGCATCGGAGTGAGAGCTCCCGTCGTCAGTACCGACTCAGCAGTACGTCTCCACCCTTTGGAGGCTCTGCATTCCCACCCAATCCCTTCGATCTCTCCGCCACTCCTCCAGCCCAATCTCTCCCAAACAACACCCAGCAACAATCCACGATGAGCGCTGCATTCTTCATCCGCGACCACACAACCGCAGACGACACCATCTCCAGTCACGATGAGTGCTCTATCTGCCTCGACGCCTACACAAGTGAAGGGTGTCTCCGCATCACCGGCATCCCCCGTTGCAACCATCACATCGGCGCCAGCTGCCTTGACCGCATGCTGCGCAGCAACCCCGACGAAGAGAAGAAGTGTCCCCTGTGCCGCGCAGTCTGGATTCCCGCGCACGTTCTGCCTTTCCCTCCGCGCAACCAGAGTCTGGGTACCTCACGGCGTATGGCAAACATGTTCGCAGGCGTCGACGGTATCGGTGCGGATATCGCTGGTAATGAGTTGATTGGCGCTGGCGCCATCTCACCTCTACCATTCAGTACACCCTCATCGCCGGACCTTACACCCGCATCACCAGCATACGCGCCCACATCGCCGGTATACACACCCACATCCCCTACATTCCCAGCAAACCCGATATCCCCGACGTTTTCACCCACCTCACCAGGATACTCTCCCACAACTCCCACGTTCCCGACATCCCCGACATACACGCCTTCCACCCCACCACCCCACGGCAGCCCAGTCCCACCCTGGCGCGAAGAGCCCGAGGCTGCTCCAGCGCAGAACCAGCAGCTCAACCCCATCGTCATCGACTCTGATTCCGACGACGACGCAGGCTACGCCGTCCAGTTCCAAAACTTCGAGAACTTCAGACGCGATGTCGCTGATATACGGAGTCGAGCAAGAGAGACGCGCGGGCTGAGGAGTATTAGAAAGAGACGGGCCGCTACTGCTGCTGAGAGGGAGCGTGTCAACGCCAGGAATGAGGGACGCGGTGGTGCCGATTCGAGTGGTAACAGTGAGAACGCTGCTGCGAATGGTGGGACTGGTACCACCAGGTCTCGCGCGTTGAACCGTCTTCTGGGTAACGGGAGGCACCCATTTCAGCCTTCTGAGCACACCGCTAGCGCTGGCGCTAGCGCGTCTCCTGCTCCCATGAACGAGGTGTTGGAACAGCGCAGCCCACCGCAGGAGCGACGTCTAGGAAGCGAGCTACGCCGTGGAAGGAAGTTCGAGCAATCCGCCTCGCGAACTGCTGATCACGCGAGCGCCCGTCGTCGTCGAGCCCCAACACCATACAGACAGACCCCGAGTCCAAACAACCCAGACAGGCCGGTAGATGTAGACCTCACCGCAGATGAGCCCATCGAACCCCCCGCTATTCAGTCAGGTTCTGCGCGCGAAGCAGTTCGCAGCAGACATCTCGATCAACGCGAAGCGTCCTTGTCTCGACGCGAGCAGGTGCTTATTACTCGGCAGTTAGCGTTGGTGAGGCAGGAGGAAGCGGTTCAGGCGCGGGAGGAAGCGGCTCAGACCCAAGAGGACAGAGCATTCGAGAAGATGATGTTGTTGATGAGGCAGAGAGAGGAGGTGGAGGAGATGGGTAAGAGGCACAGGAAGGAGTATGAGCGAATTGTACACCGAGACTAGTGAGAGGAGGACATCATGACAAACGTCAGACTGTAGATGATCTCACGGTATGGGAAACCAGGCTTGGTCCCAATGAAGCAACGAATGAAAACATTGAAATTGAACTCTTAATTGCTTGTGGTATACATACGAATCCCACTTCGTCGAGCCATACTTATACACCGACACGCATGCCGACAGGTATTCCCATTTCCTTTCTCTACGCCATAATCCCTGTTGTTATCGTAGACTCGAGAAACAAACGTCGGGACAAAGCTCTTGCGTTCAGAATACACCACCGGAAAGGAAAGGAAGGCTCGAAGCCAAGCATCCCGAACGCCGAGCGCAGCTCTAGACTGGCGCGCTACAGTAATAACAAAGAACGAAGAAAACGACCCGGTGTATAATCGCCGTTGAAACGCCAGTGAAATGTTGCCCTCGCACACACCGTATATACACACAAACGGCGGACAGGTTACTGAAGGAAATGGATGAAGAAAGTCGTCATCGCCGACGAGGAATAATCGTGTTCGCGTGCATGAGGTGCGTAGCCAGCCCCATGATTCCCTGCCGTTCCACCCACCCAGCCCGAGAGGGAAAAGTCGAAATTTAGTTTTGGTAACCCGAGTTGCAATCCCCTGGGTGTGAGGATGCAATAATGACGTAACGCCAAGCGCCGTCCATGCGTTGTGACAGAGACGACGATGCGTCAAGGAGTAGGAGAGGAAGGAGAAGGTTGGGTAGATTACAAGGTCGTACGGGTAGAGCATCGTGATCGTCGGAGCTGCGCATGCCCCACGCTTTGCGTCATTGCCATGATGCAGAGTCATGACAATGGCGGTGTACACGTGTAACATGGTCAGGCAGCTTGTTTACTCCCAGTTACCTGACAACGTGAGTGACTGTCTCAGTACTTGGAAGGATACCGCCCGTTCTCTTGATCGTCGGGGCTGGAGTTCCTTTGGGGTTGGTATACGAACCGGTTCATCATCTGGCCTTGCTGCATCGGCATCATGTGTACGCCGTTGGGTTGCATCTGGGCGATGCCATATGGGTTTTGATGGCTAATATCGCTGCCGAGGAAGTTGTTCATAGCGGCGCCATGGAGGCCCTGAGCCTGCGACACTGGGCAGTCCTTGTGAGCTAGAAGAAGAGTCTTGAGGTTAACGATCTCTTCGCGAAGCTGAGTGACGGTAGCAGAGAGCGCGTCGTTCTCTGTACTAAAAAGTTCGACTTTAGCTTGGAGGTTGGCCAACCATTGCTTCTTGCGCTGTCGGCACTTGAGGGCAGCGACCCTGATACACGTTAGTAGCTTGAAGTTGGGATGGAGAGAAAAGACATACCTATTGCGCTCGAGGAAGTTCTTGCGCTTCTCCTCGTCGGTCATCTTGCGGCCCTTGCTGTCGTACTCCTCCTCCTTGATGTTGTTCTCGTCATCAGAGTCGCCGTCGTCCATGTCGTCGCCCATGGGCTGGTTGGCGTTGCTCTTCTTTCTTGAGTTCTTGGGGCCGTCTTCAGCTTTGCGCTTGTTTCCGGCAGCTTGTTTGCCATTAGCGGCGCCCTTCTTCGCACGTGACCGTGTACCAGTCTTGTTTTGCTCACTCTGGCCGCTCTCTGAGAAGTCACCGGTCTCTGCAGATTGAACGCTATTGATGGAACCCTTGGTGTCACGGCGGCCATGGTTGGCGTTGACGGGTTGGACGGGCATGTGCCCGGCATTCATCGATTGCTGTTGGGGAGCCATCGAGTAGGGTGGCTGGTTGTTGCGTGCAGCGCCGTTTTGGCTGGCAAAGGACAGCAGGTCGTTAGCGGCACTGCTGACGTCATGGTTTGGATATGGCTCGTTCTGGGCGCGCTGTTGTGGCTGCTGCGCCTGCTGGTAGTTGTTGTTAGGGCGGTCCATTCCTGCGGTCGCGGCTTCGGGCTGCGACGTGGGCGCGCTGGAGGTGGCTTTGTTGTTGTTAGCTTGGTGTTGAGCAGCGGCGCGCAGAGCAGACTGCTGGAAGTCGGCAGTACCAGGTGTTACGCCAGCACTTTGAAGATTGAAGATGGCTTGGGTGTTCGGGCTAGGAGCTGGGAACATGGAACCACCGCCGCCAGGAGTAAGGCCGGTGCGGAGAGAGGATTCGTTCGGGGTTGGGAAGCCTCGGAATGACTCGCTAAAATAATCTGTCTGTCCAGTCGGCCCGCTCAGCATAGCAGGGCTCAAGGGTCCTGCGCGTAAGCCCTGCCACCCCGGTGTGATGCCCGGTAGGGGTGATGGTGACGTAATGTTCGCAACGGGCGGAAGAATAGGTCGGCCTCCAGGTGTCTGTAGGTTGCCAGACTCGCCGCCAAAGGACTGCTCGAAGACGTTTGGCTCGAGCGAGAAGGGGTTGTGGACGGTGTTGAAGTAGTCGGGAGTATCGCCAGTGGTCGAGGGCGCGGGCTTTGGTGGAGGCGCCAACGGCTGGGCATTGGTGGTTGCGGGTTTGGCAGCGTCTGCGTTGGTGGCCGCTTCCGTGGTCGCAGCTGGCGGTGGGTTAGCATCGTGTGCTGGTGGACGACGAGATGGATGCAAAGCGACAGTTGACAGTCGACGGTGATGTTGGGACGGGACTACTTACGCTGTACCTTGGGCGAAGACTCGGCCTTTACTGGCTCAGCTGATCACGGTGTTAGTAATGCTTGCATGTGCGATGATGTGACGGCGAGGATGACGACGATGCATGCGCGCGCGACGCAGGCAGGGAAAGGGGAGGCATGGGAAGCAGCAGCGGTGAGGTCTTCACGGGGCAGCAGCGACGGGGGCATACACACCTTCAGTCTTGGTGACGGTAGGAAGAGATGTTTTGCTGTCCTTGGGAGAGGACATCTTGGAGGACGGGGAGGAGGTTCGAGCGGTTTGGGTTGCGGCTGCCATACTTTGGGGTGGTGACGTAGGGGTGGTGTCCTGGTCGATCGCTTGTGGTACCGGGCCTTGACCTCTCTTCGCTCGCTCGCTCACACGCACGCGATTCGGCTTCTCTCGACGGTTTTGGGCGCACACGGGCGACTCGAGCACAATAGCACCTGTGCTGTTCGGCGGAGCTGTCAGCGCACGGAATTACAGGTGCAGGCACGATGCGACGGGCTGGGTGCAGGCAGACAGACGGGCGCAAAGGGCTGTCGCAGACGCTGGGAACGTGGCAAAGTCGGCAGCGCAGATAACAACAGCGGCGGCAGCGGCAGGGCAGGGCAGGGCGACACGACTACGTACCTCAGCAAAAGGAATCGAGCGCGGCAGATGCGGGGTCGAGCCGTCTCAATCCGATGAATATCGATATTGTTGACCGCCGGCTCTGTCGTCGCAAAGCTGGTGTCTGCTTGTCAAAACCAATAGTGACGTCAAGCCCCTGTGGTGACGCTCGCAGCCGTCGCAGTCTCTAGACCTACACTCGCGCTGACTCTGCACGACTCTAGGCAATCCGGGGCTGTGGAAGCGCGTGATGGATGTTCCTGATCTCAATGAGGCTCAAACCGGCGTTGACGGGGATTGTGCTCGTGGTGACGATGACAGTGAGGCGTTCGGCGATGAGGTCAGAGGACAGGACGAGCGAGCAATTTCTGGGAGTGACGCAGCTGTGCCAAGCGCATAACGTGATTTCTTGGGTTCGTAATCAAACCCGGCCGCTAGTCCTGTCTGAGGGCCAATCACTGCAGTCGAGGCCCCACCGCCTTCGCTGGACCGCCGATCTGCCGCCCCTTTTGGCTCGCCTGCCACGAGACGCTTTCCGGCACTGGTCCCGTCGAAGCACCCCAGCCTTCCATTCACTGCAAGGACTATTCCCGCCCACCGCATTTTCCTCTCCTCCAGCACGCTGCGATAAGACACGCTGAGGAGTTTGATAATGCATCGTTCACAATGACAGCATCGACGCCTGCTACCACTCCCATCCCTGCCTCTCCACCCGCATGGAAGGAACCTCGAAGCTACTGGAGCCGACACTCTGCAACGGCCAGCGGATCTGATTCTGCCAGGTGCCGGTCCCGTTCCAGACCTCGATTCACGCATGTTTCGCCGATCTACATCGTCTACTCGCATCGGCAAAGTACCAGCCCTCGCGCGGACTTTGCAACCGCTGTACCAATCACACCATGCCAAAGTTTCATCGCCTTCTTTTTCCCGATGCTCATCGAGATCGTGATGTCCATGTTGCATAATGCAACAAGCGTGGAATACAGGAGTCGGATGTTTGGCATTCTGTAATCAACAAGTGGGTGGGTGGCAGGGCGATGCCAGCCTCCACACCCTAAAGACGTATCACGAACGTTAGGGACGACGGCTATTCCGCTTCCCCGTACCTTCCTGCTTCTTGCTGCTTGGTCGCATGGGTCTGGCTTATGCGAGCGACCAACTATCCGCACGTAGCGCATGAGCGTGCAGCAGGTGTAGAGCAAAGCTTAATTGTGACGTAGTTATTGACCTTTGATCTCCACTGGCGTACAACATTGCTGTAGAGCCATCTAGTGTCGCCAGACTTGCAAATTGAGGGATACACTTCTGCTTCTTCACCATCAGAGGTGTTTTGCCTAGCTTCCATTTGAAACTCACACTATTGGTGATGCTTTTGATCGCTACTACGACACCAATCGGATGCAACTCCATCTACACCGGAACATGCTTTTACTTCCAACAACGCATGGAATTTCATAGCTTCTGATATTGTCAAATAGATTTGAATACCCTGATAGCTCGGGGTGTAGTTGAAACGATATGGAAGGATAAGTAAATTTGATCGAAGGCAAATCAACTTCCACGTACATGACAGGTCGAAATACTCGATGTGGAAGGGGTCTTCTTTTCTACGGAAGGGACATGTGCAGACAAAAATGTAATTCTGCAAACACATGAAGCAATAGCCAAACACTTCTTGCTTTAGCTTAATAATTAGAGAACGACGGATGAGATGTGCAGCAGTTTAAGGTATGGCGTAGCATACAATAGATAATCCTTCACTCTTTCTATGAAAGATAATGTTAAGGAATTATTCTACAACCAC